AGAGGTTGCGATAGAACTTTAATGGTTTTTATTTAAAAAGATATTACTAAAAAGACAATAAATTTTTATTTAGATAAAATGATTCGCCATCTACTATTACTCAAAGTAATTTGAAATTTCCCTAACAACATAAATACTTAAGAGCGTTAAGTGATGATCAATTTTGTATTTAAAACGATCTAATTGATTTACCAAAAAGGAGAAAGTCATTACATGCACATGAAATAAGTGATTACAACTTTATGCTTGTAAGAAAAGTTACTTTAGGATATCGAAAAGTCATTCTGGTTAGAATACATTGTAATTACGTGTCGGTATTAACTAATATTATTAATATCTTATCCCACGTGATACCTTTTTGAATGGATAAAAGAACATAGCAAGAGCGGTGGAGAATTGATGTATTGGTAGAGAAGAGCGGACGTTGTATGGTTTATGAATAAAGAACATTGTGTCTAGAGAATAAATAATTCAGCATTAGTCCGAAATGCGTATCTATATGATTGAAATAGCAATGTCTGTGTATTTGTGAATACAAAATTTGCGTTCATGCAAAATTGATTTTAATGCGTAATATTGAGTACTTCTCTTAGATTCCATTTCATTTCAGTAACGGCAGTGGGTATGATTCGTTTATATATCAGACGTATATATAATCTCGCTCAATAAACTTTCTTATTGTTAGTTAGTTGTCGATATTAATAAACACAGCTTATAAAAACATTCATTCGTAAACGTAATTTTTAGAAACATGTTATATCGTCAAATTACGTTGGTCTATTTATATGGTCTATTTATATGACATGTTTTCCTTCGTTTTATTCGCAGAAGTTGCTCGTACCGTTTGACAAGTTATATTAATGCTCGTGGCATATGCACGAATGTATGTATGGTCGCTCGGAGGATGATTTTTCTAGACTTTGCTGAAAGGACAGTCAGCCTACTCAGTCGGAACGCCAGCAGAGTAAATATTAATATGCTTTTACGAATTTCAAAGAGGACAGACATTTAATATCTCGCAACTATTTGAAAGAACGTGTAGAAAAAAAGGTATTCTAAACATCTATCTTTCATGTGGTACGCACGTCATAATCCGCGCTCGTACTTACCAGATATGGCCGACAATGTTGGCGTATAGTCATAGTTAGTAGATGTTAGTAATTAAAAAATACAGATGAAATATAGAAATGCAGGTCTCACTCTTCATTCCAAAAAGAATTTTTATCACTTTTCGAATAACAGTACAAAAATTGAAATTTTAGAAACTAAATGAAATAAATTCTAGATCTCGTTGTACTCTGCATTCTCAAACCTGTATATATACCTGATGTTCACTAAAACATTCCTAATTAATTAAAAGATGTCAAATTAATAAAAAAGAAATAGGCGATGTAGAACCTGAGGAGGAGGAGGGACAAGACAGTTATACTAATTACAAGAAAAAATATTTGATAATTTTCGATAGACGAAGTGAATCAAAATAACTTTTCCAAAATAAATACAGCAAATACAAATAAAAAATAATCAGCGATAATCTGATAATCACTTGAAATCCACTAAATAGCACTTGTACTGAAACCATTTCTCAGATACTATCCATAAAGCAAATTCTAAATTAACATTTTGAACTGAAACCTTAAATAACATTTTGATCCTACACTATAAATATTATGCACGAGTTTGGCAAAAAAATATCTTTGATTAAAGTGACAACAATGCAATGAAAATCGGTATTGTCAATGCATAAATCCAGAGTACCTGCTTTTAAGTTTACAATTAAAAAATACTCACATTGATGATAAGCTCCATCGCCTACATCGTAATGTTTGTGGTTGCAATTCGTGACGTTCTGTTCATACACCTTGAACAAAAAATTTCATTTCGATGTATCATTCGAATAAATTTTTAATTTCTCGCATTAATCTCACGTATATAAGNGCACGTTTTACAATTACATTCGCGCCCGTTTCTCTCTGCACTCCGGCGCAATCGATCGAACGTTCCATTCCACTCTAAACGATCCGAATTAATGGAAATGACGCGACCTATATGTAAGCACTCGGAAAAATAATCGCATGACAAGCAGATGGCTGCTTTCAAGGAGAGATCTATGGAATCGCGAATCGATCGGTTACAATTAAGAAGCTTCCTTACATATTGTGAGCGACTTACCTTTGGCTGATCGGATTTATAGATTTCGTGGACATCGATACCTGGTAAGGGAGTCCAGGGTTCGGAAAAAACCATTTGACTTTGGAGAACGATTACACAAAAACTTAAATTTACGATGAAAAGTTGTATGACGAAATGTAACATATCTCTGTTATCTGTTATTAATTAGCCACGGTATTTTCGATCAACAACAAGTCACGTTTAACAAAGGAAGTTCGGCACCCCGAAAATTCTGATGTTTTTGAAATTGTGCAAGTTTGTTGGGGATTAAGAAGCTTCCTTACATATTGTGAGCGACTTACCTTTGGCTGATCGGATTTATAGATTTCATACTCGTGGACATCGATACCTAGTAAGGGAGTCCATTTGACTTTGGAGAACGATTACACAAAAACTTAAATTTACGATGAAAAGTTGTATGACGAAATGTTACATAGTTATCTGTTATTAATTAGCCACGGTATTTTCGATCTACAACAAGTAACGTTTAACAAAGGAAGTTCGGAACCCCGAAAATTCTGATGTTTTTGAAATTGTGCAAGTTTGTTGGGGATCTTGATAGTTCTGAACTATTTTTATTATCGGTCACAATTCGTTTCTTCGGGCTGAACAGATTCCTTATGTATGTATATAGGTATTTCCCTATTTGTCTATACAGGGTGTCCCAAAATTATTGCTTTTCCGGAAAGTGAGAGGTTCATGAGGTCATTTGAAGCAACTTTTTCCTCAGCGAAAATGCGATCCGCGGCTTCGTTTACGAGTTATTAACGAAAAACAGTGACCAATGAGAAACCGAGCCAATGAACCAATGAACGGAATTGAGCTTCGCGAGCTAGTTGGCTGCGCCGCCTCGCGTTAGCTGAGCTCGCTTCTCATTGGTCAGCGTTTTTCGTTAATAACTCGTTAACGATGCCTCGAAGAACATTTTTGCAAAGGAAAAAGTTACTTCAAATGATCTCAGGAACCTTACATTTCCCGGAAATACCATAATTTTGGGACAACCTGTATATCTTTAAAACTTCAGAAGGTATAAAACAAGAGGTTGCGATAGAACTTTAATGGTTTTTATTTAAAAAGATATTACTAAAAAGACAATAAATTTTTATTTAGATAAAATGATTCGCCATCTACTATTACTCAAAGTAATTTGAAATTTCCCTAACAACATAAATACTTAAGAGCGTTAAGTGATGATCAATTTTGTATTTAAAACGATCTAATTGATTTACCAAAAAGGAGAAAGTCATTACATGCACATGAAATAAGTGATTACAACTTTATGCTTGTAAGAAAAGTTACTTTAGGATATCGAAAAGTCATTCTGGTTAGAATACATTGTAATTACGTGTCGGTATTAACTAATATTATTAATATCTTATCCCACGTGATACCTTTTTGAATGGATAAAAGAACATAGCAAGAGCGGTGGAGAATTGATGTATTGGTAGAGAAGAGCGGACGTTGTATGGTTTATGAATAAAGAACATTGTGTCTAGAGAATAAATAATTCAGCATTAGTCCGAAATGCGTATCTATATGATTGAAATAGCAATGTCTGTGTATTTGTGAATACAAAATTTGCGTTCATGCAAAATTGATTTTAATGCGTAATATTGAGTACTTCTCTTAGATTCCATTTCATTTCAGTAACGGCAGTGGGTATGATTCGTTTATATATCAGACGTATATATAATCTCGCTCAATAAACTTTCTTATTGTTAGTTAGTTGTCGATATTAATAAACACAGCTTATAAAAACATTCATTCGTAAACGTAATTTTTAGAAACATGTTATATCGTCAAATTACGTTGGTCTATTTATATGGTCTATTTATATGACATGTTTTCCTTCGTTTTATTCGCAGAAGTTGCTCGTACCGTTTGACAAGTTATATTAATGCTCGTGGCATATGCACGAATGTATGTATGGTCGCTCGGAGGATGATTTTTCTAGACTTTGCTGAAAGGACAGTCAGCCTACTCAGTCGGAACGCCAGCAGAGTAAATATTAATATGCTTTTACGAATTTCAAAGAGGACAGACATTTAATATCTCGCAACTATTTGAAAGAACGTGTAGAAAAAAAGGTATTCTAAACATCTATCTTTCATGTGGTACGCACGTCATAATCCGCGCTCGTACTTACCAGATATGGCCGACAATGTTGGCGTATAGTCATAGTTAGTAGATGTTAGTAATTAAAAAATACAGATGAAATATAGAAATGCAGGTCTCACTCTTCATTCCAAAAAGAATTTTTATCACTTTTCGAATAACAGTACAAAAATTGAAATTTTAGAAACTAAATGAAATAAATTCTAGATCTCGTTGTACTCTGCATTCTCAAACCTGTATATATACCTGATGTTCACTAAAACATTCCTAATTAATTAAAAGATGTCAAATTAATAAAAAAGAAATAGGCGATGTAGAACCTGAGGAGGAGGAGGGACAAGACAGTTATACTAATTACAAGAAAAAATATTTGATAATTTTCGATAGACGAAGTGAATCAAAATAACTTTTCCAAAATAAATACAGCAAATACAAATAAAAAATAATCAGCGATAATCTGATAATCACTTGAAATCCACTAAATAGCACTTGTACTGAAACCATTTCTCAGATACTATCCATAAAGCAAATTCTAAATTAACATTTTGAACTGAAACCTTAAATAACATTTTGATCCTACACTATAAATATTATGCACGAGTTTGGCAAAAAAATATCTTTGATTAAAGTGACAACAATGCAATGAAAATCGGTATTGTCAATGCATAAATCCAGAGTACCTGCTTTTAAGTTTACAATTAAAAAATACTCACATTGATGATAAGCTCCATCGCCTACATCGTAATGTTTGTGGTTGCAATTCGTGACGTTCTGTTCATACACCTTGAACAAAAAATTTCATTTCGATGTATCATTCGAATAAATTTTTAATTTCTCGCATTAATCTCACGTATATAAGTTAAATATGAGTGCATAAAACTTTGATGGTACTTTGATTAGGAAAATTTAAAAAATGCGTTTTGTAGATCTCTGTAAATTTTATGGATGCTGAAATTTCATCGAAAACGGTTGACGTTGTTAAAAGCCAGAAACAATTAAAGATTGCGAAACTCGATTGCGAGTCGATAGCTCGACTCTGCGCAAACCGATTTCAATAAAATTGTCAGCAAGCATATAAATTATCGAGATCTACAAAACGCGTTTTTTTAAATTTCGTTATCGTCTCTTAATAAAAAAGTGAAAAACGTTAGTTCTTTATTTTGTTTGTCATTCGAAGTAATAGCAAAATTGAAAAAAAAAATATTTTAAGCATTCTGTAGTAGACCAGTACTTCTATCATCTAAAAAAGTAATTCAAATCGTGTAGTCCAGTTTTTAAAAAGTTATACCGTTTCAAAAAATCTCCAATCTCTTCTTTTACCCACTCCATGTATAATTACTTTCGCGACCAGTGATCTTCTTCACGCGTTTTTAAGTGTCACGAGAAATTGCAGAAATTGAATCGAGAATACCTGAGCTGGAAAATCGCGTTTATTCTATTCCGCGCAAGAACGTGTTATGCTATAATTCGAGCACACTGTCAGTTGAACACTATGGTCTGATGCTCTGGCGCTTTTCAACACGGCAAGTGAATAACGCGTTCGTATCGTGCAGCACGGAAATGGTCGAGGGCACCACTTCTGAAATCTCTCCCGAATTTCGAGATGGTACTATGGCAGAAACTGTAACGCGTTCCTGTCACAGCTGTAACTGCAAATCTGCGTACGCTTTCGAAATAGTCTTGGTTCGATAAAGGACGTTTGACTATAACCTCTCGCGACGTTAATATTTTAAAAGAGATGCCCACTAAATTATAGAAATTAACATCAGTAAAAGATATTACAGTACTGTTTTAAATGTAAATGCTTTACGTCGTCGAAATTAATAGCAGATTTTAATTGGAGGTTTCTATTTTTCACATGTATTAATTACAATCCTAACGTAATTCAGTGATCAGCACACTTGTCAGCATTATTTAGATAATGCTTATTTAGATAACGATTATTTAGATAATGATTATTTAGATAATTTATTAAAATTATACTCCCCGTTTAAAATATTATTTTACCTTAATTGTGTGTTAATATAGTAATATATAATAATAATTATGAAAAGGAAAACTAAAAAATAATAATGTATAATATATTGACGTTCGACTAAACGTAAATTATTCTGTGACGATTTAGAACTATCACGTGGCCATTGTTAACGTGTGGATCAGCAACAAAATTCTTTCTACACTAAGTGCAGAAGATTCTTAAAAATAAAATCGTTTTTCGTGACATATACATTTGATTGCTTCCTCCTGTTTATGTATTCGAATCTACTCACCAGTATTTTTAATCGATTAACAATCTATGCAACCAAATTCAACGTAATTGTTTCGAATAATTCATACCAAAAAGTGATCCATGCACATACATTCAGCTTTCAAGTTGATCACACATAAGAAGAAAACATTACGTTCTAGTAAACGACGATTATTCCATTTCCGAACACGTAGTAATGAAAGAAAAATTGGAACTCCTTGAAAATAATTTCTATAAAAGTGCAACTCCTGATAATGAATTCCACGTCTCTGCCAGGTTTCTGTAACTGTAGCAATGTATTAGTTTACAACGAAACGGGGAACTATTAAGTAATACATTTCGAAACGTACTTCGAACATGTTGCTTCGATTCATTGAGAATAGCGAATGTAGGAGATTGTAGCTGTGAACGTTGCCAAGTCCATTTTGTCGTGCATCGATCGGAAAGACAGTGCCAGGTTTCGCATCTCGTGTGATTGGAAAGATTAACGAACAGCACAAGCTACATGTAACAATTCCGTTGTAAAGTGATACCATTACCGAGATTGATTTTTCGGTTTTATCTAGGAATCAATCGAGGAACTGCGGCTTTTTTAAACAATAAAACCATCGAGAGACTGTCCGGTAAAGAAAATTTATGATTTTATCGCAACGTAAAAGATTTCTGCTTATCGATTACACGAGATGGAACAGTAATTCTACGTCTAAACGTCTACATTTGCAGTAGTTCGAACAATTGCTACATACAAACTTTGCTTGTTACGAAGGTGCACATAGTAGGGCAATGATTTAATTATTATATAATAATTATAATAATATAATAATAATATAATTATTATATTAATAATATAATAATTATATATGATAATTATTATATTAATATTTAATTTAAGTCCTAGTGAATGAACATTTTTCGTATTATGTGGAAAAGTAACGTTTGTCGTATCTTGTTCACATTAAAATTTACTCAGTAATTCTATCATACACGTGCGGATGTCTTGCAAATGCCATTTTGCAAAAATTTATCGGCACTTGACGCGTTAAAAAATTCATGCCTATCACGAAATGCTAAAATTACACTCCAGAATCTATTAATTTAGTTGCAAAATAGTTCGCTTATAGATTAAACACGATCATTTTAACGAACATGTTGCTTAAGTGTTCGATCACTGAACAAGTCACCCTAGAACGTAAATATTATAATACAATGCAGAGAACACCAGCTGTATCACTTGGACCGAATACATCTTCTTGTATTGTACTATTGCCATCTAAAAAAAGCCATCATTCGTACAGTAGTATAGGACGACGCATTTGTCGACTACGACTCGAATGAATCGATATGATAGTGGGGCTACCGGTTCGAGTCTCCAGCCCTGATTTATATGAATGGAAACATGAATCGTAGATTTCGATACTGTGCTAACCCCATTTTTTCTGTTTCGTTATTGATCTACAGTCGTCAACAGAAGATTAAGACAAAAAGAAAGAAAGATATTAGAAAAATGCACTGTGTCGAGTCAGTTCATCGTCCTAAACTTAGGATCTCTACTGTATAGTAGTAAGTATGCTTTTGTAACACAGTATTCTGACAACGATATAATACGGTACAAAAATTACAGCAGTCCTCCTATAATGCGATATTCTTATAGCAGAGTATCCAATTATTAAATTCGTTTGTGGAATTAATAATTATTCAAATAGATTTCTTACACTGTAAGTTAAAAGCATTTATATTTTCTTACAAGCATGTAACACGTGACACACATACATACGATACGCACTGAACATCTTCGTATATGTATATATATATGATTCCTACTATGTTGATACATTTTTTTCATAATTTCGACGTAACGAAATTGAATTTAAAGAATGAAAAAGCAGGAAATACATGTGACTAGAAAATATCAACTACTATATCAATCTGGATCGCTATGCAACAAGGATGTATATTGCTAAACACATATTTGTTCTAGATTAGGAAGTGTTACATAATTAATATACTGTGGATTCCTAGACAAAATAAAAATTGTCTGCATCAGTTGCATGAAATAGAAACTAAGTGGCAAGTTCATTCCTTGTTTAATCATTACATCGACATTGTAAAATTCTTTTAATTTTTCTACTACTTTAAATTTTAAGCACTCAATTTTATCGTAGATACATAAAATCAGCTGTCCAGTAATTAACAAATTAACAAGGAGAAGAATATGCGTTTAATTCCAAAGCTATTATTTAATCCTGATCCTAGCCTCCCAAGATCAGAGGTGGGACATGTTTACAGTATAGTATGGAACATTGGCAACTGTACGAGTTTCCCTCCTGGCACGGTTACTTACTGTGCTCTAAACTGTGTTTCTACCGTGAAAACAGTTCAAAAACAATGGTTTCATACATTACTTTCGTGCGTTTACGTATACTAGGGTGCTAAACGTTGTAGAGCATTATAAGGAATGGTAATCGAGAGCAACTTAGGGCACAGTTGTGTCACTATTGCTAACATTAGCGATGTATACGTTCGTGATCATTGTAGTTCTACACCATTGTCGTGTACACCACCGTATCTATACTCGATTGAGCGAGAACTGGCACAAAATATAAACGGAGCGTTCACGTGATCAGTACTGCTGGTACAACCGAATTGCTGTTACACGACGATGCTCAGGGACGATTTTTACAAATTATACTTGAATCACCTATCGATCGAAAGTCTGATTAATTAGCTAATTCTGGTGACCATTCATACAACTACATACAGCACAAGTATCAACTCCGTCAAGGCCAAATTCGGAACCCCGCCCTTAAATGTGCATTCTAAAGATTTTTTAAAGGTTTTCAGGTAACAACAGCATTTGAAGAAATAATACGTAGAACGAACATGTTAAGATCGAATATGGTCCTTATTAGCTCGATATCACAGCCGCATGCTGTGAGTGATTAAATCGGACATATAATCCCAACCGTAAATTACTATGATACGTGACATGCAAAATATAACCGAGCGATGATTACATGCGAAGCTAGTATTACCAATTTGGTATGTACAATACGTTTCGAGCCCGTTAATATCTGTACAGCGGACTACTTTGTAGATAATTACGTCTAATTCTAGCTAATTATGTGGGAGATGTAATCGAGAACACAAATTGCTTCTGAATTAATAATTCTTAGTTATTGCTATACACAATACAATACTAGCCAAGAAATCAGGCCTTCCTCTCGAATTCAAATTATTCCCATAAAAGCAGGTCATCGAAACAGAGGTAAGAATCCTTCATTTGAGTTCATAGAAGACGATACCCGAGCTAAGAATTGACGAGATTAAGGCCTCGTGTTGACAGTTCAAATCGCTTCAAAGAGAATAATTTTCCGGAGCACAAGAGTTCTCTGGCATAGGTAGAATGGAGTAGAAAAGTCTAACCTAACTGAGACCTTGAAACGGAAACTCGAATGACCATCAAGAGTAATTTCGGCGCGCAAGAGATAGGCATTCCACCACAACTTCTATCTAGTGATGAAACTTGAAGCACTTT